TCAATCTGTTGTATATCTTTTCTCAATTTTCAGAATTCTCAAGTGGTTGTTTTGACAAATTTTCCCGTTGTTCCTTTTTGGTGAGATGATTTGTTGAACGTCTAAGCATTTTAGAAGTCTCACCCTAAATATTCAGCAATTTACTACTTCTTAAAAAGTTGCTAAAGATACAAATTTTGATATGTCAAAAGTAAGTATATACTTTATAACACCTTCTTATGAAAACCCCACAGGTATGATAATAAAGAAGCCAAAGAGAATGACTATATAACACAGTAATGAGGATGGAAAAGGAACTATCAGTGGACCAAAGTTTTGACAATGTAGAAGCTGATGGGAATATGTTGACATATAAACAAGAGCAGAGAACAGAACCAATACAATTAGGATGTTTTGAAAAGGGAAAAATATTCAACACAGAGTAGTCACAGTTCATCTTCTCAGCAGGAATTGTGAAAAACACTTTGTACAATAGACTGAATGTGGATGTTTCCCCACTCCCAAATTCCTATGTTGAAATTCTAATCCTCTGTGTGATAGTATAGAAGACAGAGCCTTTGGAAGGTGATTAGGTCATGAGAATGGAGTCCTCATGCATGAGATTAGTGCCCTTATAAAAGAGACCCTGAAGTACTCCATTCTTCCCTCCATCATATCAGCACAAAGCAAGAAACTGTCTATGAATCAGGAAACGAAATGGTTCTCACCAGACACTGAAACCACTGGCACCTTGATCTTGTACTTCCAGCCTCCTGAACTGTGGGAAATAAATTTGTTTATAAGCCACCCAGTCTATGGTATTCTATTATAGTAGCCCAAATTCTGCCAGGTCCAACTTGAGGGCCCCTCCAAGTTTCTATTGACTTTTTTTTCCTGTTGACTTTTTTTTCCTATTGACTTTCCTATTTCTTTACAGGTCTTCTAATTCCTTTGTTGAAAACTTGACATTTTAGATAATATATTGTAGTATCTCTGGATTCTGATTCACCCCCAACCTTAGGGGGTTGTTGTAGTTTTATTTGTTTAGTGACTTGCCTGGACTAATTCTATGGAGGAAATTATTCTACAGTGTGCACTTCTTATGTCTCTGTACCAGTTTTTAAAAATATTCTTGCTTTTACTTTTAACCTTGCTTCCTAAAAATCACCTTTGGATCTGTACCACCTAGTAGTCAGCCAATAATTAGTCAAAAGTTTCACTTAAATGTTCTGAGTTGGTAAGGTTTCCATTCTTTGCTGATGCATCAATATGTGGTTTACAGTCTGCATTCAAAGTTTAGGCAGTCTATAAGTTAGCTCCAAACTTCTGCTTTCTGAGGAAACAGGCCTCAGATTCTACAAGCAATGAGTAGATAGAGTTATCTCAGATCTCTCTTCAGCCTGTGTGGAGCCCTGCATAAGCCAACCATCTTCCAAACCAGGGAATGTTAAAACTCATGAATGACCAGTATGGATCTCTCTTTCCAGATTTCTGTTATATTTCTAGCTGGTTTACAAATAAGCTGCTTGCCCCAACCAGTGACATGACCTTAGTCTAGTTGTAAGGTTGGCCTTCCTAGATGTTTGTTATTGTTCCTGGATTATCCACTGTTTTGACAGATCTCCTGGGCATGAGCTTTTCCATGTTCCAATCTAGATCAAATCAAGCAAGGCTGCTTGTCTTTATGGCCTGCCCCATTCTTGTAGAACTACTACAACATGGAATAAGATGTGAGGGATCTAAGCAGCTCTAGACCAAAATGCCTCAGACTCCCAACTATTCCTACTGAGGTTCAGTATTTTTTTTTTTTAATAAACACTTCTCAATCTGTTGTATATCTTTTCTCAATTTTCAGAATTCTCAAGTGGTTGTTTTGACAAATTTTCCCGTTGTTCCTTTTTGGTGAGATGATTTGTTGAACGTCTAAGCATTTTAGAAGTCTCACCCTAAATATTCAGCAATTTACTACTTCTTAAAAAGTTGCTAAAGATACAAATTTTGATATGTCAAAAGTAAGTATATACTTTATAACACCTTCTTATGAAAACCCCACAGGTATGATAATAAAGAAGCCAAAGAGAATGACTATATAACACAGTAATGAGGATGGAAAAGGAACTATCAGTGGACCAAAGTTTTGACAATGTAGAAGCTGATGGGAATATGTTGACATATAAACAAGAGCAGAGAACAGAACCAATACAATTAGGATGTTTTGAAAAGGGAAAAATATTCAACACAGAGTAGTCACAGTTCATCTTCTCAGCAGGAATTGTGAAAAACACTTTGTACAATAGACTGAATGTGGATGTTTCCCCACTCCCAAATTCCTATGTTGAAATTCTAATCCTCTGTGTGATAGTATAGAAGACAGAGCCTTTGGAAGGTGATTAGGTCATGAGAATGGAGTCCTCATGCATGAGATTAGTGCCCTTATAAAAGAGACCCTGAAGTACTCCATTCTTCCCTCCATCATATCAGCACAAAGCAAGAAACTGTCTATGAATCAGGAAACGAAATGGTTCTCACCAGACACTGAAACCACTGGCACCTTGATCTTGTACTTCCAGCCTCCTGAACTGTGGGAAATAAATTTGTTTATAAGCCACCCAGTCTATGGTATTCTATTATAGTAGCCCAAACAAGATACCTTGTTAGTTCCTGATTCTATTCTATTAGAGAAACTCCCTTGTCCCCAGTCCTCAGCGGATCCTGACTTTGCCTTTTGAGAAAATTTTCCTTATCTATTGTCTTTTAGGCTGTACCTGAAGTTAGCATTGAAAACTGAGCCTGTTGACAGACTGCACAAATTTCACAGTCTGCTTTCTGATGATGCAAATTTGAGGGACTGGTGGTTGTTTTATAGATTGAAAAACTACAGGCATTTTCAGGCCAGGTTTTCTTGTTGAGAATACAATTCCATCAAAATTTAGTAAGCTTTCAGTCCATTTACTACCAGTTGGTTCCATGTCAAAATCTCCTGGTCACAGTTCTTAAGCCTGCCAACCTCTTATTTTTTTTATTTACATTTGTGCTTAGCACATTTCCCTCTCTGTTATTTTAATGGTGCCTATTTCAAAGTTATCTAAAACAACAGGCTAGATTGGGAAGGTAATACCTCCACTTTGACCTTTGTTACAGAGCCAGCACTGGTGAGATGAAAAGTCTTAATGAGAAACTTTTGAAAAGAGCATTAACCAAATGCTCTGCTTTATGGGCCACACTTGCAGTTGATTTTCCCAACTTTGAGCATTGAAATTAACAGATCTTATATCAAGTTTAACTGCAAACCAAAGTCAGGGAATGTGACTCCCTTAACTTCCCTTTCTACATTAAATGGGTTAATTCCTGCCATATCTCTTATGGCACCTTGCTAAAAGCAGCAAGGAGCAACCAACACATAAGCACACAAATATTCTACTTTTGTGTGTGTGTGTACACAATACAGTAGGTACACGATTTGCCCTCCAAGTTACCAGGAGTAACAATTTCAGCAATTATTTTGCCATGACATTACAAAGGTTACTAGCTTTCAGGTCTTCAATTATCTGTTTCCTTGCTCTCCACTGACCAACTGTTTAATCAATGTCACATATTTTAGGTTTTTGCCATGGCAGTACTCTACTTCTGGTAGCAATTTTTTTATTAGCTAAGGGATAGGATTGTTGTTATAACAAAAAGACCAAGAATAAAGCAACTCAAACAAGATATGGATTGGTTTTTCTCTCACATAGCAGTCCAGAGAGAGCGATCTCCCCCTCAGGAGGTCATCCAGAGACCCATGCTACCTATTCCTTAGGGAGGTGCCCCATGTACATGGGGGGACCAGCACCACGACTGCGATCCAGCTGACAGGAAGAGGAAATAAAATAGTTGGCAAGTGATTTCATTTTTCAAAGACTTGAATGGATATTTTATACTTCTGCCTGCATCCCCTTGGTTACTTGGCCATATATACCTGCCAGGTAGACTGGGAAGTGACAAGTAATTCTACGTAAGCAGTAGAGTAAAACCTGGGGAGATTCCATTACTAAAGTAGTAAGAGTTGGATAGATGTTGGGAAATAGCAGTCTCTATCATAATGGCTATAAAGAGGGAGACTATCATTCAATATCATCATGTACTATTGAATTTTTTTTTACTACATATATACATTAGTTTTATAATAGTTAAAACACAGAAGAAGTTTTTAAACTAATAACTAACTCAGACCAGGTCTACACCCTCAGTATTTCACTCTGGAAAAGGAAACAGTCCAGAAGTAGAATTTTTCTTTTGATCTTTTGATCTAAGGTTCTACTCCAAAATATAGAGGTAATTGCTCATTGAGGGATACACCAAAACTACTTAAAGAGCTCCAATATTACACACTCACAGAATCACATAACACTAAAGCTAAAAAAAAGACCCTCTGTTCATGCATAAATAAATTGAGACTCAAGAAGTAAAATAAATGGCCCTGAATCAGAAAGGCAGTAACAGATCCAAGATTCTACTAACCCAAATCCTACTGAACCAATGGATATATACCAACTGAGATATTTTTGAAGCAGAATGGTCACTGCAGTTTTAAAAAGAATATGCCAATTAAGAAAAAAAAACACAAATATTTACAGATTATGTACTATAAAGTGATTTTCAATAATATGAGAAATGATAAAGATACAAATTTAAGAACTATGAATTAAATTATACCTTTAATACATATGTACATTTTAAAAATTATATATATAAGATGAACCTGATCCAACTGGCCAATTTGCTTTTGGGTTACAGCACTACTGCATTTATTTCAAAACACATTTATTCATCCCAAACAATAATGTAAACAAAATATGAGCCCACTTTCCCCATATTTTGAAGGATATAAATTGACATAATATACATAGTAATTTGTGTATGTTTTTAAAACCTAAGACTCTTCCAAAAGTAGGTTGTATTTTCTTTAGAAGAATTCATAAAATCAAGAAGCACATATATCACAACTGGAATTTAAAAAATTTATTTGTACAAACCAAAGTCAGATTTAAGGGCACTTTTAAGACTACCCAAAATACATGTTCAATTAAACATAAGGAATTTAAGCTTAATTATTAATTCAACAAACATTGGCTAAGCATCTCCTTCAGGCATTATATTTCAAAGATGATATAAAAGGAGAAATTATTCAAGTGGGTATAATATAGATACTCACTGAAATAAGTAAGTTGTCCTCAGTTAGAAGGCACTGTTGGTAGTACTATAGAGCTAGGAGGTATGATACTTTATTTTAAAAAATGACATACTAGAAAACTAGAATTTAAAGTTTCTACTGTAATTAGAGATTTAAAAAAATAAACATAAAAATGTTCCAAAGTCTAAATCAGTGGTTTTCAACTACGGATGATCTGGTAATGTTTGGAGACATTCTGGGTTGGCACAACTGGGGAGGTGCTACCAGTATAGAGCAGGTGGAGGCCAGGGATACTGTTAAACAGCCAACAGGGAGCAGTACAGCCCTCCACAGCAAAGAATTAGCTGGCCAAAAATACAAATGATGCTTAAGTTGAGAGACCCAGCCTAAAGTGATTTAAGTGATTTAATGTGATTTAATAAGCACTAATTTATTCTCTGAAAGACATGATGACACATAGGTATATTTTTATAAATGTCAAAAATCACAGATAGAACAAAGATTATATACTTCACATAAATTTGCCACATTACTAGGTATTTATAATTACAAAAATAAAAAATGGCAATTTTTTGTGAACAGCATTATAACAAACTTTCTTAGATGAGCAGTGATTTTTACATTTCTGTGATTTTACAGTGCAGATATTTCCTTCATCTTTTTAACAAGTAATTAATGAACATGAATTTTATATGTATTGGAGTAAAAATTCAGTAATAGCTTACTGGGGAAATAGGCATGTGAACAAAATATTACAGTCAGTGTGACCAATGTTATTACAGAACAAACTGCAGTGGCAGGACAGAAAAGGGAGCAATAACTTCTGTAGCTATTTGGGGGATCAAAAGTAAGAGAAGACTATCAAAGACAGCTGCCCAGAGGAGCCTGATCTGCATGTTTATATGAGAAGACAGGAGAGATTTTACATGTGTCATGCTAAGTAAAGAACTTCTGTTTGTCAAAAAACAGGTCTACCAGTCATCTCTAGACAAGGCAGCACCACAAGAAGTTACACATTTTATAAAGATCACTCTGAGGACAGTGGGAGGGTGGCCAGTAAGGAGGACTCTAATTAGGACTCAGATCCAAGGTGGTGAGAATCTGGAATAGGGGGGGAACAGAGGAGGAAATTAATTGAAGAGACTGTTAAGAAGAATCAGTAGAAACACAGCAGAAGCACAGTCAGAAGAGACTGTTAAGAATCAGTAAGCAGCAGCAACACACAAGCACACTGATGTAAGAACTTGTCTCTGGTAGCAAAAACTGAAACTAGCCCATGGTATAGGAAGTTTTGAGGGTAGGCTAAAAGTGAACATGTAAATATTTATAATATAAAAATTGCCATCAATTTACTACATATAATGTGACAATAAAAACTTTAATAAGGTAATTTTTCTTAATTTTATCTTAAGAATGAAACTTACTCTAGAATACTTTAAAATATTGGTGTCAAACTTCAGAGCTCCTATCCAACCTGTAAAGAGATCAGAAGTCATCACAAGAAAAATCTCCACAAACTGAAAATCAACAGCTTTTCTTGGCTCTTTTGAGGCAAGAGGGCAAAGTGCCGGCCCTAAAACTGGAGAAATAGACAGATACAGAGAATCACAGTTTACCAGGAACACAAGCCAGCAACTGGAGTTTGTTTTAGTTGGAATACTTTAAATGTAATTGATCAATTAATTGCTCAAGCCTCAGTGTAGACTAGCTTGAGAATTCAAAACTTCAAGTGCATCTTGTCTTAAGGCAGGGGCCCCCACATTCTTGAGTTTTACTTCCAGGAGCTACACCAGGTTCTCACTGTAAAGACCAGAGAAAAATCCCCTCTTGCTTCTGGTAGAAGGAGGGGTAAAGTAACCATTTTAGAATACATCCAGAATTCTCTGTTCCTCCTAAGGCCTTCCCTTTAGGGAAACGTTTTACCAAAGCCTAACAGACTGGTGTTTTACCAAAGCCTATACTGCCTGCGGGAAGGGAAATACCCCATGCAGACTCACTAAAAGGCTGAAATACAACCATATAAGTGCTGTCCTGCCACACTACATCGCCACATCAATAGTATTCCTGCGTAATAAGTAACTGGGATTTCAGCTAAAAGAACTGCAAGCCTCAGACCCTATTAAGGAGTCTTTAGGAAAACCAAAACAGAGATAAAAACAAGAACACAGAGGAGATTTCAGTCTCCAATACCACTGTTACAACAAACAGTAAATAGAGCCTAACTCCTAGCCAGATAAACATGAAACCTCACACCAAAGGCCCATATATCTCAGTTCCTTTCATTTGCTATATGTCTTATGTCCAACAAAATATTATGAGGCATGCTAAAAGACAAAACAAAAACCCCACAATCTGAAAAGACAAAGCAAGCATCAGCACCATCAGAAGCAGACTCAGATATGACAGGGACTTTGGAATTAACAGATCAAAATTTAAAGTTATTAACATGTTAAGTGATCTAATAAAAAGGTAGACAATATGTAAGATTAGGTGGATAATGTAAGCAGAAAAATGGGAATTATAAGAAAGGATCAAAAAAATGCTAGAAACTGAAAACCCTAACAGAAATAAAGAATGCCTTTGATGTGGGCTTATCAATAGACTAGACACAGATGAGGAAAGAATCAGTGAGCCTAAAGAGAGGTCAGTAGAAAATTCCAAAACTGAAATGCAAAGAGAAAAAAAAAACAATGAGTAAAATATCTAACAACTGCAGAACAATTACAAAAGGGGTAACATGTGATGGAAATAACAGAAGAAGAAAGAGAAAGGAACAGAGGAAATATCCGAAGTACTAATGATGGACAGTTTTCCAAAATGAACAACAGACACCAAACTACGCAGTAGTAGTTTGATCCAGGAAGCTCAGAGAACACAAGCAGAATATATACCAAAAAATCTATACCTGGACATATATTTGAATTGCAGAAAATCAAAGACAAAGAGAAATCTTGAAAGATGCTGGGGGACAAGATCAGAATTACATTCAACTTCTCTTCAGAAACCATGCAAACAAGAGGAGAGTGCAGTCAAGGACTGAAGTGCTGAAAGTAAAAAAACACTATGTTAGAATTCTGTATCCAGTGAAATTATCCTTTAAAATTGGAGGAGAACTAAGACTTTCTAAACAAAACAAAAGTTGAGAGAATAGGTCTCCAGTAGATCTACCTTACAAGAAATGTTAAATGAAGTTCTTCAGAAAGAAAATGCTATAGGTCAGACACTTGGATCTACATAATGAAGAGCACTAGAGAAGGAATAAATGAACATAAAATAATGTTTTATACTTCTTATTCTTAACTGACCTAACAGAAAACAGTTTGTTCAAAATAGTAATAGCAATAATGCATTCAGTGATTATAGCTTATGCGTAAGTGAAATGAATTGATAGCAATGTGATATATGGGGCAGTATAGAGGAATTGGACACATGCTCTTATAAGGTAACTGTACTACCCAGGAAGTGGTATAGTGTTATTTGAAAGGGTCTTATTATTTGTAAATGTATGCAGCAAACTCTAGAGCAACCAATAAGAAAGTTTTAAAAAGCGGTATAACTGATAAACTACAAGAGAAAATGGAATCACATAAAATGCTCAATTAAAACCAAGAGAAGGCAGAGAAAGAGCGGAATACAAAAAAAAAAAAAAAGAAAGAAACAAAGAACAAGGGCAAAGAATGGAAATAAGTCACAAACTTCATAGGCCCTATGTAGGGTAGAGCAGTGTGGCAGCAGAGAAAACTACAGGCTTCAAGTGCATTAGAAGAAAACCACGGTTTTAGAAGAAAAACCACTGCTTTAGAAGTGTGCCTCCTCATGTTTTCCCCCTTTAAAATGTCTGACTCTACAGAATCGGGAATGGCAACTTCTACTCTGAAAATACTTCCTGGGACTGTGTTAGAGTGGAAGTCCAGTGCTTCCAGTCTGATAATCCAGGTCATAGTCCTTGGAGCTTCTGAGGCCTGGGGCCTACAGATGGTGAAAGTTCGTCCACCCAGGTCATTTATTACACATTCTTCTTTCCCTCCAAGAAAGAGGAAGGGAGGGTGTAACTCCAGTTAGTATGAGGAATTTTACCTTTTAAAGCTCTTCTCTTGCCACCCTAACAGTATATCTCAAAGGGTGGTCTGTGAAACCCCTGCATTAGAATCACTTGGACTACCTGAAGAGGAGGGAGATTCCTGGGTCCTGCCCTAGGCTACTGAATCAGATTCGCAGAGAGTGAGCCCAGGGATAAGAGCTGCTAGCAAATGTCACAGGTGAGTACTCCACACCTAATGTCTGAGAACCACTGCTTTAATATATGTGTCCTTTGGAGTTGGGGGTAGGGGTGGGGTGGGGAAGGCTCTTCCCTTCATGTTCTGGGTCAATTTGCTGCTAGGAATATTAGTCTCTTAACCACCTGAATATATCTGCTAACCAAACATAGTAAATGTTCAAGGAGTATTTGTTGAAAGATTACTTGAGGAATATAATACACTTCAAGGTCTGTGTAAGCAAAATATTTTGATTCTTCTAACCTAGGCAGAAGTCGTTTTATTCTAAGTAAGTTTTGAAAAGTTTTAGTCTTGTATGTCATGTATATAGAATAGTTGTTATTTTGAAACTATGGAAGTAAAACAAGCCAAACTTTATTTGGATGGTAGGCTTGCTTTATACATACTATCAAAAAATCACTTGAGCTTCCATGTCAGCTAAATTTGGTTTAAAGAATTCCTGCAAAAGAAAAAAAAATGGTTGAAACATAAACAGCTAGAGAAAGTATAAATCCGAAACCACAAAAATAACCTTACACTGAGTTGTAATAAAGATAAAAAACATTGACAGATATGTCAGCAAAACCTAAATGTTTGAGGTGCTGTGAGGTCGGTGTAAGGGGTGGGGGAACTGGCAGAGGATGCAGAGGCTAGGATACACCAGAAGAAAAATGAGATGAGCAGGCTGAAAACATGAAGTCCTGCTCATCAAACCTTTCCAAGAACCAGAAAGCTAAGGATTTTGAGAAACAAAAAGCTAAGCTGCAAGATGGAAGAGAAACGGGATTTTTACTGAGTTCTTCAAGAATTAGGTCAGTACACTATGCATATACTCATGCACACACACACATACACATAGACATATGTAGGTATGTACACTATACTGCTATGTTACTTTGTAAGGGCATTGTTAAACTCAAACATTAGTATCCAATCAAAATTGTATAATCACATAAGTATCTGTATGAGAGAAGGACCCAGCTTGATTTTTAGTTACTTATTTTCAGTTCCTTCCTATATTTCCAATTAGGGAAAATAAAGCTTGGAAAAACTCAGGAAACTGAGCTAGAGCTCATTCTTCCATACATGTTCTTTGTAGAAGAGGAGAATTGGTAAGGAGTAAATAAAAGCAATAAATGATCACTCCTTAGAGGCCTTCCTTTTCAGGAGACACTCATTCAGAAGGGAGGCAAGATGTTTCTTCCATCAATTTGTTAGTGTGTTGTGTGAGTGTGTGCACTTTGTGTGTGTGCATATGTAGTTGTGCATGTGCAAGAGTGTGCGTGTTAGAAGGATATGGATAGGACTGATTGACCTTCTGTCTATGGCTTACCTTCACCTCTTAGCTGCAGGGTATACACTCACATGACAGCTGTCACTTTGGAAATGGGATGAGGGATTAGGTATATGTCTTAGTCTTTCCTCTTGAAAGAGGAGAAAGAACAGATGGAAAGAGAGACATAGGACACTCAAATACACACACACACACACACACACACACACACACACACACAGAAATTCACCTAACTTGGGGGCACGCAGCTGGCAAGGAATCAGTCCTCATCGCTTCCTGCCCTCTATATCCTGAACCGCTAGGTGAGAGGAAGAACTAACAATAAGGAAGAAAACTGAACACAGACTATCACTTGAAACTCACTGTGGATATTGTGGGAAGACTGGGTCTTTTCCAAAGGCACAGCTGAAGAAGTAGACTTAAAGTTTGTACAAGATGGTGTGGCTGCATAAAAAAAGAGAAATAAGGAAAACAGTGAAGTAATTATCAGCAAAATCCTTTAAAATTACTCTGTGATAGATGATAACAAGGGAATCCTGTAAGCAAAAATTACCTGTAAACAACTTTTTTTCCAGTTCTTCTTGAATTTTAAGAAGAATCCTTTCCTGTTCCAAGGCTTCTATGTATTTTGAGTAGCACCAAGTGGGCTATAAAGACAATTTTCAAAGTTAATTTTAGGAATATTTGTCCCAGGAAATAAACTGAAGGCAAGATGGCTAATATAAGCCTCTTCATTTAAACCTTTTATCGAAGTACAACACATGTAAAAAAATGTATACACATCATAAATTTATAATTAAATGAAATTTTACAAATGGAAGTTACCCACTTACTGAGGTTATAAAATTTACCCACTTTTAATTGGGTACTATAAATTACTGATCTATCTTACATAAATATTTTAATAATATGAAGCAAAGGTACTTTTCTTCTATATCCTCGACCTAAATTTTTCAATCCCATGGCCCCAGGTTAAGAGAGGGAACCAGGATGTGAGAGTGAGGATGCACTATTTCTTAGTAAATCAATGTTACAAAAGCCTTATCGGTTCCGTGGCAGCTATTCAGTCACCTTTATATATTCAATTTAATTATGATCAGGAAAGACCCAAGTTTTTGGGGGAAGGGTAGTTTTATATTCGGATTCATTACAGTTCTTCAATGTGCAAAACCTATCGGAAACAGACGCATATCCTGAACATCCACATTGGCACAAGGGCTGTTTTATTACTTTACCAATGTCTACACCTTGAACAGCAACAATAATTTATATTTATAAAATACCTTTGGTTTCCAAAAGCTTTTTGGATTTTTACAAAAATCTTGAGACACGCGACAGGATATCATCATCATCATGACAGGATATTCCTTTTTCTCTCCCTTTTTCTTTTTAACAGATAAGGAAACAGGCTCAAAGGAGATTAAGTAATTTTTTTTCAGACTTCAGAGTAATACTGACTTATAGGTGACAACAGTAAAAGTTAGAAGCCTAGTATCTCTAATTTCACATTTCCCCCTTTACTTTGATACCATGTTTCTGAAATTTAATGCTAGTCATTTGATAATGAATATACTTCCAAATGGCATTCTTACGTATCATACACTTTTAGACATGTCTTTTTCAATATGTGGTTCCACAAATTTGGACATTTCTCCAATAATAACTTCATAGACTGTTATCTTAGTTGGGTAGTTGAATTTATTTGACTAACCTAAATATCAAAGTTTGCTTCTCAAGCTAGTATTATCCTAAGGTGCAAATACTTTTACTACATTAAAGTTATAAAAAATGGACATGAAATTTAAGGGCAGTGATATTAACATACAAGCTACAAACATATAAACTTTAAAACTGTAAAGTATTAGTTGACAGTCATGTATGGGCCAATTGTATGATCACTTCAAAAATTAAAAAATTGAGACTAAGCATTTGACATTCTTCTTTCTTCCCTTAACCCAAGACACATCAACCTATACACATTTTACCTTGTTCTGTATCTGCCTTAGTCTCTCTTTTCCAATAAGATAGTCATTTCAACTTCTGCCTCAAATCTTCATATGTATCAACAAATTATTTCCCTTGATTATATTGTCCAGTATCAGCTGAAATCTTAACGTTCTCTGAAGGCTTAAGGAAATTCCCTTCTAATCCTTGCAGTATTCTAAGTTTGGCCTCATCTTTCAAACAAACACACCTCTACTAGTGGGATGCAGTAACTCAGTACTACATTTATAGAAGAGTACCCACGACATCGTTCCAGCTTACCTGTCGGCCATATGCTTGCAGGTCTAACACTGTGTCACTGACTAAAGCAGCTGTTTTGACAGCAGATCCTGAAGTACCTGCATATTGTTTCATTCCATCCTGAAATTATATTAAGTTAAATTATTCCAAAAAAGAGGTAATACTATATTACTATAAATGTACAGTTAAAGGGTCATAACATTGTATGGAAGAATATTTTGTGGTGAGCACCACACCTGAGGTTTCATCAACCCAATATCACTAATGCAACATCATCTGCTGTTAAATCTTTAATTTTATTTTAATATAAAAATATTTAAAATTAAATGAGAGAAATTATGAAGTAGAATGTAAAAATCATCCTCAAATTCTAGCACCCAAGTAAAACCACTATAAACATTTTCACGAACATCCATCCAAACTTCTTATTAGGGAAATGCATAGATATGATCTATAATATTAATGTTTATATTTTATTACATAAATTTCATTCAAACAGAATCACACTATGTGTGCTCTTTTTAAATCTGCCGTTTTGTGTAAAATTCTGTGAAAATGTTTCTATGTGAGTAAATATAGAAGGGGAATGTAAGGAGCAGGGACTTTGTACCATTCACCAAGAATGCCTACTGCAGATACTTAAGAGTACACTGAAGTATTTACTGGATGGTGAAATAAATTAAATACATCATCATTTTCAATTGATGAATGGTCTTATGCACTCAAATATGTGTTGAACGATAAAAGAATAACCTACATTATCATTTCAACACTTATGCACTCAAATATGTGTTGAACGATAAAAGAATAATCTACATTATCATTTCAACAGTTGAATAACATTCTAGTAAAGGGATGTACCATACATAATTTAATCAATGCCCGCTCTTAGAAATTTAGGTCACTTAAAATTGTTACTATCATAAATGATGTTGTATAAATACATCTGCGCATTTTTCCAATTCTTTCCCTTAGAAAAAAGTTCTAGAAGTGTACTTGCTGGGTTAAAAAGAATGAACATTTTAAACAATGTATGTTCTCAAACTGCCCATCAGAAATAAAGTACCATTTTACACTTTTTTCCAGTAACACATGAGTTTGTAGGCCTCTTTTTCATACCCTCAACCAACACTATCTTATTTTTTGTTAGTCTGCAGGTTTTGTTATCAGTGAGGTTGAACATCTTTTAATGCTTTTCATCATTTCTATTTCCTTTGTTGAATCATTTATTAATACCAATTGCTCAATTTTATGTTGAGTATTTATATTTTTATGATTTATTTTTATAATTTATATCATACATTTTATGTTTCCCAATTTGCCTTATAATATTTATTTATTTTTGCCATTTAGAAGTTTAAAATTTGTATTTATTAAATCACTGTCCTTTGTTAATGAATTTGCCACTGTTTAAGTACTTGATATTAAACTAGATGAAAGATTTTCCTTAGATTCCTTCTTCTATCATAATTTTCTTCAGATTACCCCCATTCCATTTGATTCCTTTATAATAATAAGGGATGGGAGATATATTTGACATTAGTATTTTTGTTATAAAGTAATACAATTACACAATTAATAAGATAATAACTAACATCTGCTTTGTGATGTGCACTGTGCTTCACACATCTTATTTAATCCTACCCCACAGTGTAAGTCCTATTACTATCTCCATTTTACTGGGAAAAAATGAGGTTTTGAGAAGTGAAGGTGTTTGCCTAAGGCACTAATACTAATAAGTGGTAAGCCAGGATTTAAGACCAGGCTGCCTAACTCTAGAGACAGTACTTCTATCTAATATGCTGCACTGTCTCAGACCAAATAGCACTTTACAGTTTACAGGCCTTTCCTACATATCATTGCAATTAACCTCTAAAATGTTGTGAGATTAGTATTATGGCCATTAGTTGATAGATGAAATTGAAACTAACAAAGTTAACAGTCATATGACCATGGTTACCTAAGGAAATTCAACACTTTTCACAGTAACTGATTTTTTTTAAGTATACATTTTTATGTTACAAAAAAAGTCATGGTTTTCCAAACTCACTTTTCCCAATATTTCCTCATATGCTTTTGCTGACAATAAAGTTTTGGAACAAACATTGACTAAACTGGTCTTCCTTACCTTACATTTCCATATTAAAATAAATGCATATGTGGAATTTGTAGTTACTAGTAAGTGATGACATATGTTTACTGTACATAATAAGAATATTCAAAAGTAGAATTCCTTTCTTCTCTTCAGGATTATTCACCCTGTGAAAGGGTTGCTTTCCAAATGCCAATGTTTACATCTAATCCTGTTAGCAGTTACCACTTAACAAATATGGACAGATGAAAAAATCAACTAAGGAAAGTTACATTTCCATAATTGAAGTATTATATGGATGAGATAAACATCCTGAATTCTCTGGAGAAGTAGCAATTTATTCTTTGCTCTCCTCATACCATGTCCAATTTTTGTTTCAGACAATATACTGACCATATATATAAGAAAGAGAAAATACTTGGCACTACATTCAGAAAGCTATGAAGTAGTTCCCTAGAATTTGGGGTACAGTAAGACATCTTCTGTATATGTTCCTTACTTCTATATTTACTTATTCAAGAATTATATATTTAAAACATTTGTGAAAATCCAACTTTTTAAGACTAACTCAAATTTGCCTTTTTTTATGAGGCACTTTCCTTTCCCCCTGAAATAATTGTTTATTTTCTGTGATCTGTTTTTCTGTTTATATCATTTTCAGTTACATGCACATGTGTACATATCTATCTTATACTATGTGTAAATTATATTCACAATCCTAGCATATCTAGTAGGGATCAATATGTAGTGGATGATCAATAAAAGCCCATGTAGTAGATGTTCAATAAAAGTCTAGTAAAGAAAAAAGGAAGAAAAGATTAAGACAGAATGTTCTGGTGAGAGGCTATTTAGGCCACATAAGTAGAAAATGCAGCAGACCAGTGTTAGACTCATCTGATTGGGGAAGTTTTTTACATGTAACAGGTAAAATCAGAAATGAGCTCTAAGCATACATAAGTTAGGCAACACTCTTTTCTTCCCCTAATCAATCCTTCGAATATCTTTCCTTCCTGAGCCTATAATTTAGGATCACATTTATGCAGCTTAGCTGGATACGGATTTGTCTTAAGGGACTGGAGTTGGCAAATGTGAGGATTTTCATTTAGTGAACTCTGTTCTTTGTCAGATTACATAGATGGGCCAGATACAGAGTTGGCTTGAGGGAAAAATCAAATTTGGTATCATTTGATCTCTCATTTATTACTTAACCCAATGGGAAGGGAAATAATTGTAGAAATTTTTTAAAAATCCAAAATAATTGTATTTAACTTAATGTTTCATTTATATGTGAGTATGAATTTTCCCATGGTTACAGAATTCATAATACATCAACAAAATATGCAGAGCCACATTGTGAAGAGCTGATTCAGGACAAACAAGCTATTGCAGGCACTTCCTCTGTTTTCTATCTCCTGTGTCTTCCCTGATTCCCACTATACTGGAAATACCCTCAACCTCCAGATGATAGAAAACATCAATCAAAGATAAACTTCTGAAAGTCTGATCTATTTTTTCTGTAGCATCACTCATGTGAAAATGTTAAATATTAAATATGTACAGAAATATTTATAACACACATAAGATATGAATAGTATCAGTACCACCAAAGCTTAAGAAATATTATTAGGACCTTTGTTCCCATTCGTGTCACTCCCCAATCCCATCATCAATCTCTACCCCACACGCAAAGGTAACCATTGTACTGAATTTTGTGTATTTATCATTTTTGTTTGTTTATAATTCACATTTTATTACTTAGTTTTGTATGATTTTGAACTTTAAATAAGTAGAATTGCCTGGTTCTATTCTTTTTTTTTTCTCTATTGTTTTTCTGTTCTTTTTCACTCAACAGTATACTCCTGACATTCATCCATGTTTATTACTATGATTATATTTATTTCCTTTTCATCATAGCACAGTATTCTACTATTTGAATTTAGTTATGCAATCTCCTGTTAATAGACATTAGATAGCTCCTTTTTTAAATTGCTATTGGAAACATGGTTTATATAAGTCATATGGGTGTTTCTTGATATATGTGTCCATGAATTGCTCTAGGGTATATGTATATACAAGTAGATTTGCTACATGAAGGCTACATGTACCTTTTTAATTTACTGGATAAAGTCAAATTATTTTCCAAAGTGATTATCAATTTACACTCATATCCACTCCACATCCCTATTATTGGTGGTTGAAGAAAATACAAAACATTTTAAAATGAGCAGGAAATGGCAGGTAATATCCATACAAAACCACTATAAAAACAAGACAGAGGAGGTGTGACCAAGGTGGCAGTGTAGGAAGATCCCAAGCTCACTTCCTCCTACAGACACGCCAAAACTCTGTAACTAGATATAGAACAACTATCTCTCAAAACAAACTGAAGACTAGCAGAACAGATCACATGTAATTAAGAATATAAAGAAAATGCCACATCTAGATGGGTAGGAAGGGCAGAGATGCAGCTTGGTTAGGGCCCACACCAACAGCACAGAGACCAATAAGCAGGAGGGATAACAACCCTAGAGGACTTCACTGAGGAATGAGGGGGTCTAAGCCCCACACTGTGTTCCACAGCCTGGGGCACCTGCATTGGGAAGACAACCCCCCATGGTATCTGACATTGAAAACTGATAGGGCTTATGTCTGGGAAAGCTGTAAGCCCTGTCAGGGAAACTGAGACCCCATTCCTAAAGAGCGCCTACATAATCTCACTCGCTTTGAGCCTCAGTGCAGAAGCAGCAGTTTGAAAAGCACCTGGATTACACCTAAAAGTGATCCATTGACTAATTTTAGGGCATGTGCTAGAGGGACAGGGATCTGTTGGAACATTCTCCAAGGACAAAAGCAGTGGCAGGTGCCTTTCTTTTTGTGTGTGGTACTTTACCTTTTTTAGCCCTGTGCTGGAAGGGCCATTTCTGACTATCTATCTTTTGCACTAATACCATTCAAGCCCACACTGGCATTCCCCTGTGGACTTGCCCCAAACCAACCAATCCACCTGACCTGGAGCCTCTCCTAAGTT